GTTGATCTGGTGAACAATTCACAGACTAAGCAGCACAAGGCTAAGACATGGGAGCAAGGAATTTGGGAATGTTGTCAAAAGTGCAACTGTTCAGCCTGAACAAGGAAGAGGGTGCACAAGTGCGAATGGCCCGAAATGAGGAATTTCTTATGAATAGGAGTAGAAAGTAATAGAAGGTATTTAAAGAAGACAAGCCACTGCCTGAGTTTCACTCTTATTTAGAAAACAACAGCTAGCGGCTGTTGAGCCTTTGTTTTGTGTAAGGCTTCAGACCAAGTGCTTTGATATCTATCTGTCTCCAGGGTAAAGAATCCACTGGAAGGGCAGGAAAGAATCTGAGAGACAGTGGAGAGGCAAGGAGGGAAGTGGCATGCATGGGACCTTACCATCAATGCTGTGAATCCCTGCCACCTCATTTTCCATGAGTGCCAATTTATAGACCTTCCCCTGATAGATCCCAGAAGACTTTATTCCTGTGTGGCAGTCTTTCTTTTTCTTTAAGAGTATTTATTTATTTATTTATTTATTTATTTATTTATTTATTATTTGTTTATTATTTATTTATTTATTTATTTATTTATTTAAGACACACACACACACAGAGGCAGAGACATAGGCAGAGGGAGAAGCAGGCTCCATGCAGGCAGCCCGATGTGGGACTCGATCCCAAGACCTCAGGATCATGCCTGAGCTGAAGGCAGATGCTCAACCACTGAGCCACTCAGGCGTCCCTGTATGGCAGTCTTTATCATACTTCTCTGCCATGGAGCAAAATGAAGACTAAGACATGAGTTGTGGTTTATTCTCTGTGACATTCACTTACATATCCCACACTCTCTCAGTTGTAGCTTAGGAATCTTTTGTGGCATCTCTCAGCCTTATTTCCTCATCTATAAAAATGGAAATAACAATACTGATTTATACTTATATGAATATTAAAGTACTTGCAAAGCATATTAGAAATCTAATAAATAACTTTTCCCTCCTCCTATCCTTGAGGTCATAAGAGATAAGCTCTTCTGATCATCTTCTCTTCCCCTATTGTTTTCAGCCTCCTTCCTTATCTGAAGGAGACTAACACATGTTGATGAGTTCTAGGGCAGGGACATGACTCGAGCAGAAGAGAGGCCCATCTTTCCATAGCAGAACAGGTCATCCCGGATCCTCAAGCCATCATCCCAGAAGACAAAAATGGTCTCTGCTAGAGCTGAAAGTTGAGTTAAAATAGGCAAAACCATCATGGAGTTGGGGAGATGTGTCAGGTTGGGATGGTCAGGATGTCACCTGATCTGGACAAAGGTCAACACTCAATGCTCAGTTCAACACCTGGTAGCTCCCTGGCAGGGCACACACAGTCCTGTCTGACTCATACTGACCCCCACTCTTCCCCTAGTGAGCACATACACTGTGGTTTCAAATAATTCTTGGACACTCACTGATCCTGCCATCCTGTTTCAAGATCTATGCATTCATAGACCATTTTCTCTCTATGGGGATCCCTGGGTGGCGCAGCGGTTTGGCGCCTGCCTTTGGCCCAGGGCGCGATCCTGGAGACCCGGGATCAAATCCCACATCGGGCTCCCGGTGCATGGAGCCTGCTTCTCCCTCTGCCTATGTCTCTGCCTCTCACTCTCTCTCTGTGACTATCATAACTAAATAAAAATTAAAAAAAAACACAGAAAAAAAATTTTCTCTCTATGTAGAATACCCTTTCTATGTGAGCCTTAGGGAGATAATGACAGCAACAAAAATAACAACAGCACTGACATTTGTGTGGATGTGTTACAGTTTACAAAACAGTTTTCACAGCCAGTCTTTCATTTGACCTTTCAATTGTGCAAGCAAATATTTATGCCTACCCTACAGATGAGGAAACTGAGGCATAGAGGCCTTTAGATGAATTTGAGTGGGTCTCACAATCTTTAAATCCAAGCATGATCATCTTTCTACTGTCTTTAATGCCTAATGCATTGTGCCTCCAAGGGGATAAGTTATACTAAGAAAACAGATATTTGTCTGCTAGGGCTATGTGGGACATGTAAGTGAAATGTCACAGAGAATAAACCATTAAAGAGGTTTAATCTTTATATACATATATATATATATATGTATATTTAAGTAAAGGGGTAAATACTCTTCTATCTGAGGAAAAATAGTTTCTTTAAACTAGGCTGGGTAGTATGTCCTCCCAAACTTTCTTTGTCTTGGAATTACTATGACAATTGTGGGTTTGGCTATGGATCTAGTCTGTCTACCAGCCATGTCTAGAGTAGCCATCCTCAGAGAGGGAAGGGATACTGAACTGAATCATCTCAGCATGCCCTGATACCCTCGCATCCTGGAGATTTATACTAGAAAACCATTATCAATTTTATGAGGTTCTTTTTCTCTCTGGTTATTTAATTCTTTATGTTTATGTGTGTGCAATTAACACAAATATATTTCATCCTGAAGGAGACAGCCTCCCTTTCTCTAACATGGTATTACTCAGTTTAGAAACTATCAAAGCAATCAACTTAGCCACCTGCATTAGGCTTTTATAGCTACATAAACTGATTTTCCCAGTGCTTAGTTCAAAGTTTGGACCGATAATTTTCTAAAGTGATTCCCAGCTAAGCAGTTTAAGTACCTCTTCCGACTTGAGTTATTACCTCTCCCTCCCAAATGCTGCTTCTTGGATCTTCATTCTAAGAGCTAGGGATCCTCCTCCTAGCTCTTCATTCCTTTTTGTGGTTTACTGAGCCTATCCACAGGATAATGCTAGATCAGTCTTTCTGGAGCACAGCTCTGGCATAATCGCATTCCATTCAGAAACCTCTTGTAATTACCCATTGCCTATAGGATAGGTCCTGTCATTCAAGACACTCCACAATATAACCCAGGTCTATCCCCAGAGTATGGCAGAGGCTAAGGAGCAGGCTCTGGAGCAAAACTACCAAAAGTTGAATCTCAGATCTACCAAATCTATTGCTTATCAGGCATTCATCTTTGTGCATGATATTTATTGCTCCATTGTTTAATTTCCCCATCCATATTACAGAAGTAATTATAGTACCTATCTCACAGAGTCATAAGAATTGAGGTATCTGGTTCTTATTATATAACAAGTACAAAATGAATGCTATTTATCTATTATTAGTATTATTATTATTCTATTCTTCTCAAGCTTCCTTATAGCTGAGGCTTTGCTGCTTGACCCTCCACTCTTGTTCCCTCCACCTGAAATGCCTTTTAGCCACATCTAACTAAAAGAAGGTAAATTAGTTTAGTTTTATCTCCCAGTACCAATTGGCTGGCTGGTGGTGGTCAGCTGGGGACTGAGTGGAGAAACATTCAGTGTTTCTGTTTCAACTCAGGGTAGATGGGTGGGGTAGAGTGGGAAAGAGACTGTAGTCAGTTGTTAATAGGGAAGCAGAAGCATGAGAGTTTTTGCTATTCCAGATCTAAAAGCTCTCATTGTCAAAGTATCCTTCAAATACAGTACCTCATGTTTTCTCAACTCAAGTCCCTTAATCATAATCATAGATGTAAAGTCTCCTCGCCATAAGTAAGATAGTCATGGATCCAGGGATTAGAACATGGAATGCCCTTAAATTACATAATTAATCTTCTGAATATATCCAATAAAGTAGATACTATTATCATCACTCCTCTCATAATTGATAACAATAAGGCACAAGTAGGTTAAGTAACTTTCCCAGAGTGCAGCAGTAAATGCAACAGAGCCAGGTTTGAGGTAGGTATTCCTGAGCCCATGTTTTTAACTACTATGTTAAATGGCTTATTAAACAACTTAATATTTGCTGATCTGAAACTTTGACAGCAAAATTATTTCTAGGGGACTTGAAATTCACATGAGCTCCTTGCTATCTTTGATATCTCTCAATATTCACATGCATCTACACAACCTCCACACATACAGTTATATATTGCATCATAGCCTGGTTTATTTTAGGTCTCTGAGCTATGTTTTATTTATGTAAGAGAATCTTTCTGATTTTTATGATTGCAGTCTTTTCATGTATGTCAGTTTTTGAGGATCCATTTCTACAATTAAGCAGAAACCATGCTTTACATACTTTATGTAGTACTGCTTAAAGGGTCAGATGCCCAAGATAAAAAACCTCTGATATCCTTTGAGTATAGGCCAATTAAGATAAGTGCCCTATGTCCCAAATGTTTTCTATTGGCCTTCATGCTGAAATTGTCATTGAGGGTCACGCAGGACTCAGTGTATTTGAATCTGTATGGGGCTCCAACTTTACTTCTACCTGCTTCACACGGAAACGGAAATATTTTTTTGCTTTATCCTTAGGTTAATGTAAGCATTGAAGAATTTTTAACATGTAAGCAAAGTCCTTTTATTTAGTTTTGAACTGGTCACTTTTGCTGCAGGTGGGAATGTTGGACATTAGACCAAATAGAGGCCATTTTAGCAATTCAAGCAGAAGGTAATTATAGCTTGTACTAAAACCGTATTTGATACATAGAGAAATGGATATTTTGAAGAAATGTTTAATTAGTAAATGTCTTGGTAATAAATTAGGTATAGGGGCTAAAGGAGAAGTAGGCTTCAGGTTCATGACACTGGATGAAAAATATTTGTATTTAGGGATCCCTGGGTGGCGCAGCGGTTTGGCGCCTGCCTTTGGCCCAGGGCGCGATCCTGGAGGCCCGGGATCGAATCCCATGTCGGGCTCCCTGCATGGAGCCTGCTTCTCCCTCTGCCTGTGTCTCTGCCTCTCTCTCTCTCTCTCTCTCTCTCTCTCTCTCTCTCTCCCTGTGACTATCATAAAAAAAAAATATTTGTATTTAATGTTAGGTCACAGTGGATGATGACTTAGTTGAGAGAATTTGGTGAAGGTCATGAATATAGTTTTTACATGATAAATTTGGTGTGCTTTAGAAACATTCAAGGAGAGCGTCCTCCGCCCACCGGGCCGCCGGGCCGGGCCCCGCGCGACTGTGCAGCGGCGGCCGGGCTGGCGCCGAGCCCCGAGCGGACCCGCGGTGGCGCGAGCGCTCCGGCCGCCGCCTCCCGGCTGACCCCGCGATCTGAGGCTGTCAGAGATGACTCTGGTTCTGTCCATGAATAGATTCTGCGAGCCCATTGTCTCGGAAGGAGCTGCTGAAATTGCTGGGTACCAGACGCTATGGGAGGCTGACAGCTACGGAGGACTGAGCCCCCTGGGCCAGCACAGGCTCCTCTGCAGGGAGACCGGGGAGCCGGTCCCCCACTGGCAGGATCACATTACAGGGGAATTTCAAATCCTATAACAACATCCAAGATCACATACTTTAAGAGGAAGTATGTGGAAGAAGAGGATTTTCACCCACCACTCAGCAGCTGTAGCCATAAAACCATCTCGATTTTTGAGGAACGAGCCCACATCCTTTATTTGTCCTTAGAAAAGCTAAAGTTTATCGATGATCCCGAAGTGTACCTCCGAAGATCTGTCCTTATAAACAATTTGATGAAAAGGATCCATGGAGAAATCATCATGCAGAATAACTGGTGCTTTCCTGACTGCTCTTTCAATGGCACCTCTGCCCAAGAGTGGTTTATGGCTCAAGACTGTCCTTACCGGAAACGACCACGGATGGCCAAAGAGGAGTGTGAAAAGTTTCATGCCTGCTGCTTTTACCAAGAATGTGGTGGTCACTACCTAAATGGACCCCTTTCCCTCCATGCTAGCGTCGGAAGTGCCTCCACCACTGCCCCGTCCCCCCGCCCCCCCCCCTCCCCCCCGCCTTTACCGAGTTGTTCCCACCAGGTGGATTTCGATGTAGGCAGCACATCTGTTTACAAAGGTGATGGCCAGGTACCTGCCAATGAAATCTTTGTCACTAATGTCAGGTCACTAGGTGTTCAGGAAAAGGCCCCAGTAAGTGATGAGAAAGCAAATAATGACACCAGCAGGGATGGTGGCCCCCTAAGCCATGAACCTGGGGGAAATGACCTTGCTTTTGAGTGCAAAGGCCAATTTTATGATTATTTTGAGACTGGATATAATGAAAAAAGCAATGTGAGTGAGTCTTGGAAAAAGTCCTTAAGGAAAAAGGAGCCTTCACCAAGTAACAAACCGTGCTGTGGCAAAGGGAGTAAAATATGAGCCATCTTTTCACCGAAGCTTCTGAAGCATGCACAGCATGGTCAATTAGCTCTCATAAATTTTATTTTGAATGGATTTTATAGTTTTGTACAACTGATAAAATTATGCCATTAACACGCCGTGTCGTTTTAATTCCTGGAGAGCAGATTGCATAAAACATCTGTATAGTAGGCATCAGCGAGCTACTTAGAAATGTGGTGATGTTCCCAAGAAAACAGTTGACTTAATGCTTAAAAGTATACCTTAGTTGTCCTACAGAAAAGGTCAGTAGATTAGACTGGGGGACAACGTGCCCTTGTGATCTTTCCAATACCCCCCCAAGGAGCCTGTCACTAGCTAAAAAAACTGCATCATGTTTGCCAATTAATTAGGTAGTTATTTGGAAAGCAAACCAACATAACCAGCAAAGGATGTCTGCTTCTTCTCTATGATACAGTATTTTTTTCTGAATAAAAGACCAAAGACAGGGAGCTAGATGAAGTGGCTTCACCGTGCCGTTAAGTACTTGTATTTAACAGTCTTGGGTGAAAGATGAAAATAGGATGTAACATAATGAAACACCTGTCTGGGTGCGGCAATCAACAATATGTGTAGAAGGGTAATCCCTGCAAGTTCCTGGCTTGCCTGTGATGCGTGATTAGGCAGTTAGAGAGGTGTTATACAGGGCGATTTTTGGTGCCTTACTTTATCTTAATTTTTGCCAATGTGAAAATTAAGGATAAATCAGAGTTACAGCAGGGATTTAACAAACAGGAAAAAAAATACACAGGGTGGATCAATATTGTTTGGAAACCGTTAACTTCGAAACTATTGTGTTCAACTTTTGATTCAACATCTCTATTCTTCCTTTGTTTTTGATGCCCAATTGCTTTTGGATTTGGCATTTTTAGAAAGGGATGGGGGAAACAATAGAGCTGTTAGAAACCAGCACTAAGCTGCTTGAGCTTTTCTATGGCAACGGTCCGTTGCTGGGGTTTGGGTTTTTTGGGTTTTGGGTTTTTGTTTTGTTTTGTTTTGTTTTCTTGTCCAGTGAAGTTCATGAACCAGTGGCATGCATTATACTTTAATCTGTTTTGCATCATTTCACTCGTTTAGATTATAAAAAGCATGTGGTTTTTTATATATGACTTTTGCTGTTGATTAAGAAGCACAATGTTAATAAATGATGTGGTGATCAATGAGGTTTTATCTTAAAGAATGTAAAGACTTTAGTTTTTGGAAAGTTATTTTGGAGAAATGGGACTCAGTTGGCAATAGCTACCATGTATTTGGTCGACGTTTTTCTCAATGATTTCTTTAATTTGTACATTTGCAAAAGTGTTCAGAGTGCCCCTCTGACCGTCCTTCCTTCCTTCCACTCCAGCCAGCTCCTCCTGCTAAACTGTATTCCAATTTCCAAGGTTGCTAATTGACTAGGGCCTCCTTAAACAATACTTCACGGGAACCAAATGCCAAACGGAGGAAATAAGTAAGTCCTCCCAGTTTCTCCAAGATAAAGCTTTTTTATTATTGTTATTAATATTAAATATAGGTCTCATTCATACAGTGTATGAGTAGGATCATCATTTGGAAAATGTCCACAAGGACCAATTTTTAAAACATGTTCTTGTGTTATGGCTAAATAGTCTAGTAATGTTTTGTCCTTTATTTTCAATATTTGATAAACATTTGATGTTGAAAACTTAGATGATAGATGCTTGTATATGAACGTGTTGTAATAAAGTGAGGTTTTCTTGATATATATTTATTAAAACGATCAAAATTCAAAAAAAAAAGAAAAGAAACATTCAAGGAGAGAAATCAGGAAGGCATTTGACTATATATGTCTAGAGCTTAGAGATAAATTGTGTCCTGAAAAAAAATGTCTCTGTGTCACTTACATATATTTATAATGGTATATAATGACTTGAATGATATCCTCAATAAAAGTGATATCCTCAATAAAAAGTGAGAAAAAAAGGAGCCTAGCGTTCAGCTTTGAAGATCTCAATCATTAAAGTTTAAGTAGGAAAGAATGAGTTTGCAAAGTCAGAATGACCCTATCTTCAGTTGGTGAGTTACTTAGTGTCCCATTTCTTCCAGTTCATTCAACATCAACACTGTGAACACAAAGAAACTAAGCTTCTGTGATTGCAATGGAGAAATGGGCAAACAAAGCAGAAAATCCCATTTAGGGTGGCCTGACATTAAAAGCAACTATCTTCATTAGATTTCTCTCTGAAAATCCTTACACTATCATAATAGATTTTTTTTTGGCTTTGTCTTAGAGTTTCCAAGAAAGTACACCTTACCTTCTCCTCTCCTACTGGGAATAGGTCCCTCTTTCATCACTCCAACACTGTGGTTTCCAAAAAAGATGCCATATTTTTATTGATCCAGCTTCCCTGGACATAGTCATCACTCTAAAAGCAGACACAGACCTTTGACCTAAGCTAGATAGGTTAGAGTTTTTTTTTAATTTATTATTATTATTATTATTATTATTATTATTATTATTGATACTTTAGCTTGAAGCATAAGAGAACAAGCCTCAGTGCCTCACTGGTGATAAAGTTTTTGTCACACCTTATGGCACATATCCAGGGGCCAGGTTAAATTCAGCCATGTGGAAGATGTCTATCTGAGGGACAGAAGCCAATCTGCAAGGAGCATACTGAAAGATTAAATAGTCCTGGTGCCTGGCAATATCTGAGATTTAGTTACTCATGAGGCACAGCTGCATCCTAGCCCTTATTGTAGTTTGCATCCTTAAGACAATAAATTACATTTTTTGCAAAGGTAATATATAATTATTGGATAGGCACTTGACATGCAGCTATGCACTGAGTTCTCCCTCATATGCTATGGCTGAAAGAGCAGTCATCCCTGCTGATGATTAAGAAAGGAGAAGGTGGAGGGCTGAGAAGGGAGGCTCACTGCACCCCTGAGCTGAAAGGCTCTCTCTGAAGCACTGCAGAAAGGTGGCAGAAAATCAGCTCAGGAAGGGGGTGGATGTATTTGGTTTATTCATGAATGATGTGCTATAGTTTTGTAATTGCCCTCTGGGATCTGGAGTTGCCATTATCTCTTACAAGGTAATAAAGTTGTGGGATGACATTACTTTTCTTAATCTGTTGAATTCTATTAATTCAATTTTAGTCACGCAAGTGGAGAGGGAGTGGGAGAATGAACTCTTCTACCATTACAGGGGAAGCAGCCTTTAGACCAAGGGCCTCTTCTTGACCACAAAGTTTACTTAGGATCTGCCTGGGGAATGTTGGGATACAGAGTATGAGGAAATACCAGGGGGCAGAGGGAAGGGTACATATAAATTCAGCATAATCCAAAACAACACTTAAGAAAGAATTGTTTCTTCCTCATTGAGCTAACTGAAATGTGGTTTTCATGAGTTTTTGTTTAGATCATCAGATTCTTTAAAGACAGTAATGATAAAGCTTTTATGTATTGTCACCAATTATATACTGGAAGGGTGTTGACACTGGCCCTGTGTTGCCCTTAATTTCCACAATGAGCTTATAGGGTATGCATCATCATGACACTTTATAGGTGAAAAAACTGAGGCTCAGAGAGATTGAGTTTTTTATTTTATTTTTTTTTTTATTTATTCATGATAGACATAGAGAGAGAGAGGCAGAGACACAGGCAGAGGGAGATGCAGGCTCCACGCAGGGAGCCCGATGTGGGACTCGATCCCTGGACCCCAGGACCGCGCCCTGGGCCAAAGCAGGCACTAAACCACTGAGCCACCCAGGGAACCCTAGAGATTGAGTTTTTAATAAAAGATATCCCACTGGTAAAAGGAAGGACTTTAACTCAAATGTGTGTTTCTAATGACAAATCCAGAGAGAACTGACTTCTAAATTTCCCCTAATATTCAGATCTCTGTAGTTATAACCAAGATAATTTCACTGGACAAAAGGGCTTGGTGAGCATGCAATAGAGTGGGATGGTAGCTCCAGCCTTCCCACTTCATCTCCCTGAGTTGTGTTTGCCTGTCCTTCCCAGTCCACGGGTGTGGGGTCCAGTTGGAGGCAGTTGACTGGATCTGATGACCTTTGGAATCCCTGACCCCAACCTGAGGATCTCCTTTTTCAGAGAGGGGCTGGTCCTTATCACTTTGTATTATCAGACTGTAGTTCTCTTCAAGAAGCACAATACCAATGAGATGATACTGTGGTGACTTTTCAAGCAGGAATTTCCATGCCTGTCTGAGTTGATAATCAGGACCATGCCTTCTTATTCATGAGCTTTTCAGCTAATACACCATGATTAATGCTGAGTTCCATGGCTTTGTAGATCTGGACCTGCTGGTGTGCAGGTGTTCAGAACACATTGTCTTATAAGCATCATGGTCCCTCCAGATCCTCTCCTAAGACTTCTGTCCCTACCATGGACCCTGGCTCTAAGAACAACATTAATGTTGCAGCCAACTTTTTCCTACAATGCTAAGCACTTAGCCCTAAAAGGCAGGCTAGGAGAGGAAACCAAAGTGAACCTCCTCTTGGAAGAGGTTTACTTCTAACCCTGCATGCCCAGGCTCAGAGCCTCAGCCCTAAAGAGGGCACTGTCATCTAAACAAGGTAGTCACAATTCAATTTCATGAAGGGATTAACTTTTTTTTTAATAAAAAAAATGTTAGGGATCCCTGGGTGGCGCAGCGGTTTGGCGCCTGCCTTTGGCCCAGGGCGCGATCCTGGAGACCCGGGATCGAGTCCCACGTCGGGCTCTCGGTGCATGGAGCCTGCTTCTCCCTCTGCCTGTGTCTCTGCCTCTCTCTCTCTCTCACTGTGTGCCTATCATAAATAAATAAATAAATAAAATTAAAAAAAAAAAAAAATGTTAAGCATATGCTAGAGATGCATCAAAGTTGGAAAACAATCTCTCGAATTGTTAATCACACTGCAGTCTGGCCACCAGCATGAAGTAGAGGCATTTCCATTATTTTCACCTCACCATCTATCTCATCAGCTATGGGGTTGTAACATGGGATAAACGTCCAGGACATCAGAG